TTCCATATTTATCAAGTTCTTGATCAACTGTGACCATCTATTTATAGGTCCAAGATATAATAAACATTACAATTATCAGCAATCAACATTTTTATGAATTCCTATCAAATTGCTCTGTGCTGTGATTTATCTAATGATTGCGGAAGAAGTGAACTTGAAGTAAAGATTTCTAATACAGAATCACATAGTTCACATATTTTCTGCTCTTGAAACAATTGGCTACATAAGAGAATTCCTAGACTGAAACCGAGAGTAAAGCATTTAAAATTAGCAGCCACAGTGCCCTGTGAAACGGTAAAACACGACATTTCCCCAAATTTCATCTCGTATAATTCAGTTTGTCGTTCGAAAAAATCCTGTCCATCAAGTTTATGTTGTGATAACTCATAAAAAAGCATTCCGGACAGTTTTGAAGATGTCCACAGAAATTATGTTAATCAGAACACAGGAAACTTGGCCATCTTTGTCTTATAATTGCTTTTTCACGAGTTTGGGATAACAATCTTATGATGTCGAAAAACAACACGAAGTTTTTATCACTCACTGTAGCTATTACTGCTTTAGAAGAAAATAACTGCAATCACAATTGTTCTTTAGTACATACATATGTATCTGCGATAAAAATGAAGAAAGTTGATTACTGAAGGAGCGATAATACCGCTATTGTTTGCCGATGCCTGTAGACCGTGGCTTAGGGTAGCTCTAGTTACGTGCGAGCTCCGAGGATAATTAGTCTACTGCAGTGTTTAACATTTTTCTATAACACCACGTTCGGTAAACGCTTTTACATTATAATTTTGTGACCTACTTGTTGATTGTTAGTGGATAAGTTCATGTTTTAGTGACTTTATAATGTACGTTTCAAAATGAATCGCAATAATTTCGCTAAACGCGCAACTTGCGGACGCAAAGACCAATTTAACTAATTTCATGTTTATTGTGATTTGACTGCAAGAAAAGGTGCAGGTATATGAAGAGTAATGTTGGAAAATTCACTGATATTAACGATTACATAAAGAAAAGGAAAGAAAAGATATTGGATTTGAATTTTAAGGAACGGACATTAAACTAGATTGCAACAAGATTCTGCTAATTTTTGTGTTGACTTGGTAAGGTACATTCATTTTTTTATATTCCATTAAATGGTATTCCTCTTTCAACTCTTCACAACTGAAATTCACGTGTGAAATCCATACATTTCTGTTCCGGCTGCAACTGACACTGAACTGACAGCCGTGAAATGAGGTAAACGACTGAAATAAATTATTAATATCCAACTTAGGATAGATACCTATTTCCATTATTTTTTGTCTGTATTTTAGGTACTTTGTAATGTCAAAGCAAACGCCTAAATTCTGTAATGTATAATTTAAAAGTATTACGATGTAAAACAAAATGTAACTATACTTCTAAGTTATAAATAGATGTTATAAATAGATGTTATAAATAAATTGAAATTATTTTACGACGATGATGACTTAATATCAACAATCTATTAAATAACTGAAGCTAACATAAACGTGTTAAAGAGGTTTACAATAATATTCTCTGATACACCGTCAATCATCCTTTTTATGTTTGTAATTCTTTGCTATCCTTACATTAGTATAAAACAAAGTTGTTCGTCACGTGTCTTTCTATTCGCTATAAAGGTGAAAACTACTGAACAGAATTTAATATGATTTTCACAAGTAGTTTCAGTGGTTCTTCTTTCTGCTATAAACTCCGAAATAGCTTACACATAATTAGGACTTAAAAGTTGGCTGTTCTTAAAAGTGAAAATTTAATGTGAAGGTTTGACAATACTACAGGCAAAGCAGCTGCTGGAAAACTAGTTGAAATAAAGTGATAAAAAATTCCTTAAAATTAAAACCGTTATTTTAAACGGTGAGCTTTAAAAGTAGTTTCGCTAAACGAGGCTCGTGTTTGAGAGCGCGGAACAAACGACCGCCGCAGCCCCCTTCATACGTGGAGTGTCGTAAATAGCACGCGCTCCCCTAGTTTTAAAATGTTTGTTATTAACTACCTACATACGAATGTGTGTACTTTGTAGTAATGCTTGAGCTTTACACTGACTAACCCGATTTTTCACACTACAGTCGGTCTTTTGATGCGGTTGTATAATCTGCAATTTATAAAATCAACTTTTCATTTTTATGTCGAGGGTGCTAAGGAATTAGCTTTATACCTCCGCAATTATAGTGATTCAGAAGACATTTAAACTTTTTCAATTCCTACCAAAAATTCGTACCATAAATTGAAAGACCCCAAAAAGGTTACTCAATTTTCCAGTGGAAACCTTTCTATAAACAGAAAGATGGCTGCGGTGACCAGAGGAAGGTTAAACCCGATTCACGCAAACTGTATATTTATGTTGTGTGTTTGTCCCTGGGCTTCCATCCGTAACTTTTACTACAAACAAGTTTGTTCCAAGGATAAAGACAGATTCGTGTACAAGGATCTAACTTAAGTTGTAGGCTTCGCGACTATGTGTCTAGTAAATATCGATCTAACCTTGTAAAAGAAAGCTACTCATTTAAAACGAAGAACATTGTGTCGCTTTGTTAAAGAAAAGACCAGTATAAAAATAAATGGCTACTTTTCATGCTTTCCACGCACAACAGCCTTTTTTAAATTGGATTCTTAGTTTGAATAACTTGTTGGTTAAGTGCGTAAATTGATTAGACTTTAGAGAACAAATATTTTCTACTTATCGAAATGAATTATAATTTAACGACATGATTTGTATTGGTTTGGTTTTCAATTTAATAATAGTTATTGCTTTTCCTAAACCGTTACTCAATATAGATTCCAATACCTTTATTTTTTGTTACCAAGAATTTGCCTCTATTGGTTCTATCGATTGTAAAGCTTTTGTTGCGTTGCTAAGCTACCGTACACTCTTGTCGTATTTATGAAACCGATTCCTAGAAGACACCACCTTTTTTCTATGTAAAGGTATTTGTATTTATTTGTAGGCTTTTAAAATGTCAAATAGTTGTGGACTTTAAATTGTTTAGACAGCTCATTCGACAGCATTGCTTTGATCGTATGCGGCAAAGCAAGTGTTACCTGCTTTTATACTGTTTGAACAAGTATGCCAAAGCGACCAGCTAACATTCATTTGTTAGTTTTTTACTCACAGTCAAGTCATGAAATAAGGCAAACATTTACATAAACTTTGCCGTTACGTTTGAATAGTGTGATTACAATAATATTTTGTATGTACTACATGGATGAGGCAAAGATGCAGATATCAAATGTATCGGCGTATTTGGGATCTCAAACGTGGCTTGAATAAAGAATAAGAGGAAAACAACAAAACATGTGCGCTTTGGGTTGAACTGTGAGTGTCATAATTTTACGAAAATTGAATTATTGATATCAATCCACCTTTTATTTGCCCTCTTCTTTATCAGATGCGTAAATTTTATCTGCAAAAAAAAGGAATGCGAATAAAATTGTCCTTCCACGACCCTGAGCTAATTAAACACATCAACAACGAAGGGTTTTGACCCTGTCCTGAGGTCCTGTGTTAATTAACCGCATAGAGGACAACTACTCAAATAAAAGTGAAAAGATAAAAAAAGTATCAAACAACTGTTTGAATGGATATAAATGTTTGATCAATATATTGACACATTTGAACAACGACACTAAAAAACATTGCAGTAGGTCCGACACCCGAGCAAAACTTTTAACATATCACTCAATCGGTTAAAACTTCTGAATGACTTCCGAGTCTTCCCAAAATTTTGTGAATAATTTCGTTCTATGGACCGAGGCAGTTGAACAATGCCTATAGAACTCGCTAGCTTCATTGTCTTGTGGCTTTCTGGTTCGCAACTGTCTGCAATTGCGGTTACGGCTTGCAGGAATGCAGTGGGAATCTGAAGCTTTAGTGTTTGAAAGAGGAACTTTGAAATGTTAATAAGCGGTGTACCCACAATGTACGTTCTATGGGCTATAGTTTTGACTACTAGAGATAGGTTTTTTATGGGATTGGCGCCGCCCGTAGAAGTCCGCAAAATCAGAAGAGCTACAAGTTCGTTGCCGGCCGAAGATCTAAGGAAGGTTGATTTTGGCATAAATTTGATGATCGTTTGTGTCATGCGAATGCAAAGACCAAAAAGTCTATATGTATTATTGTTTATCCATTCGGGGTATGCAGCTTTTATCGTATAAAATGTTATAAATCATATTCAGTTTGTATGGTAGTAACGTAATGCAAGATGGATGTTCCGCTGTACGTGAGTCGGATACGTGATTTTAATCAGGCGCACAAGAACTAGTGCTAAGTGTTTATTTTAATCGAATAAAGGTTCAGTGGAGTATAACGCGGCAATTAGTTTCTTTAGTCACTTCTCGTGATTGGTTTTATATCTTTACATTTATCTCGGGCTTTTAAACTTAGTTCTGTGGCAAAATTATTTAACTTACTTTTGCATTTATAGTTAACACAATTTCAAGCTAAAACAATAACCGTTTACTTTGATTCCTTTTGTTAATAATCCTCTCCATAGCTTTCATATTCCCACTACGCAACAGAGGAAACATCAAACATGTGTTTCTTACTTTTTGATGTGGGAACAACAATGCTATTCAGTTACTTCACTAGTTTAACAATAGACTTGTGTGTAACTAATGATAGCTACAAAACACTCAAGAAAATATTAAAATCTGCTATTGGCAACGTGACTAATATTCTTGATAACATTATACAAAGGAGTTCATAGGTTACTTTACGCTGAGATACATTGAGAGCATAATAAATGAAATTGTAGGTAATTGAATCGTCAACGCGGGTCGTACTCGTACACTCTCGTATCATGAATCACACACACTGCTGATAAAATGAATCAAATAAAGAGCTTTTTTTTACTGCACACGTAACGTAACTTGAACACAGTGTATATATACTCGCGTGGACCAATTCATTGTGTGATAAAATTGTAAAGCAAAGAAAAGATGGTCCTAATCTATATTTCCTTTGTCCATAGGTTGGGATGCGGTGGACGAGAAGGCGCCATTCCTGCGCAACGAGCCGGTGAAGTTGACGCCGGCTTGGGAAGGTAACAACCTGCCAAATGACACGCTTAACTTGAAAGGTAAGTTGATGATAACGTCACAGAAGAAATATACTGAAGTAACTAAAATTTAAAAAAAACAGTCTCACTAAAAACATTTCCACGTAAAGTGATGCCAAGACGAGATCTCAGATCTTATAGTAAAGTTCTACAACACTGCACTTTAACAAGCTTCCCAGTTTACAAACCAACTTTAACTTCACAACCCAGGACTTACCAAACTGTTTACTTGCAGAAAGGTAAAAACGTTCCCTGTCCATTACTTTGTACAAGCTTTCCTCTCTAATAGTTCTAGTAGAAACAAAACGAAAACTTCCTTTGAGACAGGAATTCTATTGGTGAAAGTTTTAAGCTAACCTAACTCGAGTACGCCTACACACGACACAATCTAGACTGCTAAACTATCCTGGCATCGAAATTCCAACGAAGATGCCATTCCTGAAACTAAATACTCTATCAAGATAAAGTTTTGTATAATAATATAATAATTAAAAGATGAACTACTAAATTCATTACAATATAGTTTAAGGCTAACTTATGGTGAAATATTTTGTGCTTTTTATCCTAGACTGTATATTTTAATCATTAAGATACATTTTGGCCTTGGAAGGAGTCACGCTTCGGTACGAATGGGTTGACTTGACCGGAGTGAGACGTTACTACAGATCCGAATCCTCTAAAGGCCACAATGTACTTGTGACGCTTCTGGTGTTTTCGATGACAATGGGTTGCGTTGATCACTTACCAATTATTACCATCCTGTAAATATTTTTGCACATCATAAAAAAAAAGACTGCCTCGTTGGCCGAGTGGTCGCAAGTGCGTCTGCCGGGCAAGAGGTCTCGGGTTCGATTCCCGGGTCGGGCAAAGTACAGTAATACTTTTTTGGTTTAAAAAAAAATCACCCCCTATTACATGAGACTCATAACAATTGTACAGTGGTATAATGTGCACCTACCTCTGCGGGGATAAAAGGCGTGATGTTATATTATGTTATCATAAAAAAAGAGTCGCGGAGAACCTAACGGGTAACCGGGGCTCCGGCTGAAGAAGGAGGAACGGGGTGGTTTTTAGTCGGTAAGAGTCTGACACTCCCTTCCGCCTCACCCAGGCGAGAGCAGTCATTGGATGATTTTCCTCCCTTAAAAAAAAATCATAAAAAAAGAAGAAGCACAAAATATCAAAATCATACTATAATGTTATAATTACGCCCTTTTCTCAACTCCATCTTAGTTTTCCTTTCCTCCGTATGTGCTATTGGAACACAATATTCCTTTATTGTGTCTGAATAGGATATAATTAATTAGACGTCCAATTCCATTTCACTACGGAACGTAATCTGCTGTTAATACCACACAGAATAAGCCGAAAATTACTCCCAAAAATATATTCGTGATAGGTTGGTTCGTATGTGTGCGTCGAGGACTCTGATTGGCTGTCAAATTGACACGCTCGACATGAAAGCTTGTTAACGCGCCAGGGAAATTAACCTTTCGAAAGCTTATAGGCCTAAAATATCTGCTATCAATATGAAGAATTTAATAATACAACTGATATCTCTCCTTTTCATAGGAAATCGTCACCTACGCGTTTTGTTTAGTGCCTTATTATCTAACTTCGAATTCCGCCAAACCACTGTTAATATCAATGACCTGCTGTGTTTTATTAACACAATCGTAAAATTACATCAGCAACAGTTTAATAATTTGTACCTAGTCTAATTTACTCCATTAGTTTAAAAAATAAACTGATTCCAAGAGTTAAAGCGTTTGTGAAGAACGCCATCTAGCGGAGCTTATCAGTACAATCGATTTCTACATCGCGCTAGCAAAGTTTTCATGCCTCATAGCATGGTGTTGTAAAATTCGAGCTTGTGAGTAATTGTACAAGTAGCCCACTTCCAACGCAGTGGCTTCAGTTCCATAATAACTGGGCGTCACATTACTATTTCAGTGGGTATAATAACGCTTCACTAAAACACATGCAGGTTCCAGTGAATTTGTGTGCACCTAAGTATTGCGACAACTTTATTATTGCCGAAAGTTCGAAATTTTCATAAAATTATTTTAAAAATATATCAGAATATTTATTATCGTTCAATGAAAATAAGTGAAAGATCTTTTTGCCAACATGAAGTACTATAAAAAGCATAAAACAAAATATAAGATGTACAAAAAGTGGATGTCGAACTTGGGATTCGAACTCGAGTCCGTTAAGTTCACATGTTCTTGGTTCTATTCTCAGAAATGGCGAAACTTTTTGTAATGGTCAAGATTTTGCTAGACATAATAATTATAATATCAAGAATATTATCAATTTATTTACCTAATTTTACTATTATTTAACCTATTGTCTTGATGGTTCTTAGAAAGGTGTAACTTCAGTTGCGTAAAGCTTTGCATAGAGAGGAGTGGAAGGAGGGTAGGGAGCCCCTGCAGTGGGACGATCATGGCTGAAAATGAAATAAATAAATATAACTTCAGTTGAAGTTTTTTATTGGATTTTGTTAATGTAATTTTAGTATACGGATATTAGAATTGAATTATTACTCACTTAGAGCAATGATACTGGCTAACAATATAGATGACTAAGTTGGAGTTTTAAAAGTAAGAAAGAAAGAAAAATAATTTATTCGCCACCAGACATGGACCACCGAAAATTAACAAACAACATAAACATTGAAAAACAAAAAAAAAACAACAATAAAGCCAAAAAAAACATTATAAAAAGAAAGCAAAATAAAAGAGACAGGGTGGCAGCATGTCCATGACGAAAGGGCTTGCCAACTCAGTATAAGTACGAAAACACTTAAGTTAATGGTGGTCTTAAGTTTGATCTTAACAAATTAACACATATTCCAGGTATCGCAATGGACTTAGCAGCTCCAAAAGACAAATGGCACCTAATATTCCTGACGTTGATGCTGCACGGTCTCGGTACCCTGACTGCGTGGAACATGTTCATCACGGCGAAGGATTACTTCGTGAAGTACAAACTGGCCAGCGCTCCCGCCTACTCGGAACACTACCTCGCTTACGTGGGGTGGGCCAGCCAGATCCCAAACCTTGTGTTCAGCTGGGTCAATGTCTTTTTGACGTCGAAGTATGTATATCTTTTGTTCTTTTTTTTATCTATGTTGTAGGTGTGTGGAAACGATTTAAAAAGATTTTGTTTTTATTATTATTTGTTAAAACCTTTATGGTGATTCTAACACAATTATAAAGTACAATATCCAAAATATCTCGCATCTTTTTTATTAATCTCTATGGTCATTGCTTGTATTACTTTAGAAATCAGATTACAACTTTATAAAATTATACCTACCTATGTGTAAATAGGGACTAACATCTCAACAACTAAGACAGCTGTTCATTTAGCACCTTCGTTTTTCAATACATACAGACTTGTTTAAATCCTACTGTTGCACTTCTCTGCATCATCCTGCGATTTGCTGCAAGCCCGCCGTTGTATAATTGCATGTAGGTATAAAAAGTGTTAATTGAAAAATAAAAAAACATCTCGTAATTATTTGTTTAATTCCCTCAATAGATTCAGGAGCCAATAATCCGAATCATTATTCCAACTTCAGATTGTCATGCTCATAACCAACCATTAAAAGCATACTTCTAAACGTTACTAATCCGATTATGTTTATCCACATTATGTTTCAGTTTCACCCAAACCCAGTTAGTTCAGTTTAAAAGTTTTTAATTAACTCTTATCGAGTTTTGTGTACTTAACCGTGGACCGTTGCCGAAATTTTAATTGGTTCCGTAAATGACCCGTGGGCCTGTGGGTCAATTCAGTCCCAAATAGCGAAGGGATCTATAATAAGCTCATATTAAATTATTTCACGTGTTTATTGTGTGATATAGCATACTATAGTTACTTTAAACATGGTAATTTTTTTAGGGTAATGTATGACAATTTATTCACGTGACGATTCTGTGAAGTATAACACAAGTATATTTAATTCTTAATCTAGAAAAAATATATAAAAATATTACCTAATTACCACACCCAATACTACATTTCTCATTCCAACTTTAATATGAAAGTATTGTAATTTTCAAAATTCTAATATAAACCATAAAATCTTAAATCTATCCATCGTTTAACGCGAGCAAAAACATAGGCATCCGAGCTCCGTATAAATCAAAGTTAATCCGCACTTTAAACATAGTTTGCAACTTGCGAATAGGCGTTCAGCCAACCAGTTTTTTAAAATATTTGCATAAGTTTCAAACTGCAACGAGCTGCTGCGGGATTAAAATGATTAAAAGTATGCACGTGTTGTGTTTTTGTTTTAAAACGAAGTAGGAGCTACGGGAACGCTATTTTAAAAGCGGTTTTTAGGAATTTCTTTTCTGAAATAAGAATTTAAATCGTAACAAAATATTCCTTTTAAGTTATAAAATGTTTTTTTGCTTGGCACGCTCTTACAGATTTCTTTTATCACAAAATTGTTTTAAATGTCTGTCTGTTTACAAGTTTCAATGTTTTTAGAAGCATATACGTTTTGTACTAAATGGCTATGTAGCTGATCAATCTTCTCCATTCTGTCTTTATTCGTTGGATTTTTGACTTTATGTTAATACAATAAAATTGAAGATGTTATAGAGAAAATGATAGGTTGACCAACTGGCCACCGTACCCACTACCCAACGCAGTGATATTCAGCTGTCTATCTGAATAATCACATTTTATAAAAGTGGGAATATCAAAGCTTTACTAAAACACACGCTGGTTTCATTAAATAAACTTGTGTGCACCTAAGTCTTGCTACAAATAAATATACACATAGATCTGTTATATAGAAAATTATACTCATTTTTCTTGGGGCAGATATTATGTTTTTTTTTTGTGAAAATGCAAACGAGCAGACGGATCACCTGATGGTAAGCAATCGGCGTCGTCCATGGACACCTGAAACAGAGGCGTTACAAGTGCGTTGCCGCCCTTTTGGGGGCTAGGAATTTTAGGATTGTTGGGGAATCGGGGATTGGGGAGATTGGAGAGGGGGTAATTATGTACAAATACGTATTATAGATAGGTTTTTCAATATTTGACGCCCATTATTTTTGTTCCAGGGGCGACCTTACAAGCCGTATTGTATGGTCGTTGATAATGGAGGTACTTATCTTCGTGTTTACCATCATCCTAGCTATGATGGACACAACCAACTGGCCCGGCACCTTCTTCTGGCTCACGATGATTTCTGTATTCTTACTTAATGGTGAGTTGTTGTTTGTTTTTGTTGTTCATGCTTTTTTTTAATTTTAATGTACTTATTAGTTGAAACTTAGGTACGTTGGGAGTTCAGTATTCGTATCTGACAGTATCTGATATCCAGATTAAAATGAAAATAATGCTCATCAATATGAGCCCCTAACGTGAATTGAAATTAGTCAAGTTTCATCACCAAGCATTTACTAGTATACCTAAAAGTTTTTGATTACTTCCAGACATGAGTAGAGTCCGTAGCTTAAGAGTAATTCTAAATATATTAGTCTCGTTTTTTTTATTTTATTAATTTTAAATATTTTCATATCTCTTATATGCAATCTGTGACTTCCATACAAAGTATATTTTTTTATTTCATCTATTTTTATTGTATTATATTCCCACTACGCAACAGAGGAAGCATTCAATATGTTTCTTACTTTTTTAAGTGGGTACAATAACGCTTTACTTACTGATATGTATATTAATTTTTATTTAATTACTATGCATGTAAGTTTAGCTACATTAACTCGTCGAGTACCGGTTTTGTAGACACAATTATAGAACAATAGGTTGCGGTCACCGGTGACCGCTTGGTATTTGACAGTTTAAAATAAAATATGATTTTATGAATTAAAATATTGACATGATCAAAACCGGGTTCTGTTTACGATGTCCATTATTATTTAATTTTGAAGTCGATATGATCGTTGAGGAATGAAACATCCAAACTTCAATCGCTACTATTTCATTAAATGACCCCTTCTCTTAATAAATCTTTGAATCACTAACTCTCCAATTATTGTCAATCGTTCGTCCCTCAAGCTATCACATAAGGAGGTCAATTGCCACTGACTCTTCAATTATACGTTTCATATCACTACTGTAGGGCTCAGGGTTCGGATTTCGATGGTTCAATCAAACATAAATTAGGCTAAAGACGCACGGCGCGGTTGAGTTTGCGGCTCCCGCTGCACCGGCGGGCGTGGCCGCGATCCCGCAGCCGCGGTGGCTAGCACGTCGGTTGGCGGGCGATCACATTGGGACGGCCGGTCTGGAAGTCTGGAACCCAACTGATTGATAATCAACTGATAATCAACCGACAAGTTTGCGGGCGATAATCGCAACCGCGGCGACTGCGAGAGCGCAGAAAACTGCGGTTTACGTATGTTTTGAACATTCCATCTCCATTCCGCCAACGGCGGCGGGCGCGGGAGAAGACCGCGCCGTGTATCCTTAGCCTTAGAATACAGGGCATAAGAATGCATTCTATTTAAATTATTTGATTTTTTAAGTGACTTTTATGGCATTTAAATGAGACTTAATGTATGTATCTAGGGCATTTCTTGAATCTTCGGGATATATTATTTTAATTGGTGTACTACTATTACAAATATGAATGTTTATAAGGATGTATGTTTACTGCTCTTTCGCCTATCGCACAGAACTAGATTACATAGGGTTATTTTTGTCCTGGGAACGTGAGCGAAACCGCTGCTAGATGAGCGAGAAGCTAGTTGTATTGACTTTCTATCCGTAGCGTCACTCAAATGACGTTAACATAAGGTCTTAATTATTATGTCAAGTTTCATCTAAATCAGTTCAGTAATTTTACGTGATTCAAGTACAAAGTATCAATTAAGTAATAAATCAGTTACATTATCAGTTTAATTTAATTTTAAGTAACCGACAGTTATCAGAATGAATGTTAAAAGGTTAAGGCCAATGTATATTTTATTTGGTTAGTAATCTTATCTGACGAAATGATACATTTGGTTAAGTTCGTATTATTGTTTTGTACCCATAAAAGATAAAATAAGTTATGACTGTCGTGAGAGTTACGGTACCCATGGATTTAATAGAATACCAAGAGTTTTATAGAGGCATTTATTGATAATACTTCAAACGTCGGCTCTTCAGCTTGCATTAACTCCTAAGCTATTTGACTAGAATTTATTAGATTGTGCTAGGAATTATAGGAAAAAAGAATGCGTGATTTTATGACGTCGTCCCTTCAAGTAAAGGCAAAGAAAAAAAAATAGTTTAAATTATTCTCATACCTAAATTTCATTTTTTCAGGATTCAACGCAGTCTTCCAAAACTCAGTGTACGGTGTAGCGGCTCGGCTGCCCATACGCTACACTGGCGCCGTGGTGCTAGGGAGCAACATTTGTGGAACTCTCATTGTGTTCCTCAACTGGTGCTCCGTGTTCTTCGACAACCAGCGCACAGCTGCCATCTACTATTTCATCGGCGGCATGTTCGTGCTTCTCATTTGTATTGACACCTACTTCGCTTTGCCTTTGAATGTAAGTACTGATTTTACGACTCTAATATCTCCTGGAACTTTCGAAAAATAAATGAGTAGGAGTCACTTAGCGTGCACCTAAACTGCCGTTAGGTAACACTTATAGGTTGTTGAAAAACTAAGCGTTACCTTAGGCTTAGGGGTTCTTTAAAGAAGAAGGTTCTTCGAAGAGGTTGGTGATAACCGGCATTAGAATAATAGGTATAGGATCCCACTACGCAACAGAGAAAACATGAAACGTATGTTTTTTACTTTTTTCAGTGGGTAAAATAATGCGATATGAATGTGACATAGATTTTAACATAGATCTATGTTATATTAGTATGGCTACATTATAATATTAGTATTCTTAAGTATACTAAGACTTCATCTTGAGTTGACTGCCTTGTTGGCCGAGTGGTTGCAAGTGCGACTGCCGGGCAAGGGGTCTCGGCTTCGATTCCCGGGTCGGGTAAAGCATCACTGGTTTTTTTATGATGTTATATTGATCTTGAGTTCTCGAATTTTATTTTGAAAAGTAAAATCTAAGTAAATGAAATAGATAAATTTAATATACCTACGTAAATGATTCCGGTTGTAATACGCGACTGTTATTTTCAACTTTATTGTCTTGTAATAAAATCTAGTACCTGTTTGACAGTTTATAATTTTTTTATATCAAATATTGCTCTTTTACAGAAATTCTACCGCTACCACGATTCGCTGCAGCAGCAGATGGCGGCTGCGAGCGAAGGCAGTAAGAACGTCAACAAGCCGCGCGTGTCTCGTTTCAAGATATTCGGCCAAGCGTTTGTGCAGTTGTACAACGTGTTCATCGTGTTCTTCGTCACCCTAGCCGTCTTCCCTTCTGTGATATCAGGTAAGTTGAAAGAAGGATCTAAGTATTTACTAACACCGTAACTACCAAATAGTCATCAAAGTGAAAGTAGTTCTGCTGGATTCAAAGAAAAAAAAAATCTGGTCAGGCAAATCTGTCCCTCACTGTACATTAGTCAAGTCGTCAAAGAATGGGATGTAACATTCTTTTGGTAACCTAACTGCCCCTTAATCGGGGCTTGCGGCAACTTGATTTTGAAAAAAGAAAGTTATAATTTAGCAGTGGACTTAGTACAATGGTGTCGAAATCACAAGGAAGCTTTTGTGTGGACATTTGGGCACAGCATACCTTTAAATAGACTTGTACCAATTCGAATGATGTTTGAAACGGTCGGTACATAGTTCGTGTCAGGATTTAGCAATAAAGTTACCTTTTAGAAATACGATAGTTGACAGGTAGTCGAATTCAATACTTTTATTGAAATGTCAAAAACGATACTTTTCTATGAATTTTGTATTGGATCACAACTTATGACGTCATCATATTTGTGTCCTGTCTTTCCATACTTATTTCCTTAAAATTAGCGAGAAAGAATCCAAAAGTAGGTAAATTGTTAAATCAATGGAAAACTTAAAACAATTTATTTTAAACCTAGGAAACTAGCCAATTCTAGTGTAGATTTTCAAGGTGTCTTTACTTCTTGCCTAATTATCTTTTCAGATATCTCACCAAACGTCGCAGGGTTTTTGGGCGATAACTTCGTTCGAATGACTTGCTTCCTGACTTTCAACGTCACAGCAATGATCGGTAACATCACCGCTAGCACGTGGAAATTCGTAAGTATTCCTTTACAATAAATATTCCGTCGTAATTAATACATGAAACTTCGTACATTAATTAAAATATGAGATATGAGCCCAAAATTGTATTACACACATAAAATCACTTGAACAATGAACTACGAACCTTTATTGTACAAGCTAGTTTGTAAGAGTCATTAACTTGTAAAAGGACACTAAACTTTTTAATTGTTGTAACTTTTAAATTTTCCAATTATCACCACTACAGTATCAATTTTAAAGCTCAATATCGTAAATCCTCTCTCCAGCCCGGCCCCCGTTGGCTGGTACTGTTCACAACTCTCCGTGTGCTGTTCATCCCGTTCTTCTTGATGTGTAACTACAAACCGGCGGACCGCACCTTGCCGGTCTACATCACCAACGACTGGGTCTTCTGGATAGCTTCCGCTTTACTCGGCTGGAGCTCTGGACATGGAAGCTCATTAGCTATGATGTACATTGGAGGGTGAGTATTTATTTTGGCATTTTGTGTCACAGATTTGTCTTTTATCATGTCTTATTATAGTACTAAAGTCTATTCAGCTAATTTTACACTTTATTGAATCTGTTGTTATTGTTGTTCCTTTTCTTTATAAGGCTTTAAATTAATATAAAAAGGAAGAGATGTGATATATAAACAATACATGTAGTCACAGGTCAACGGTGTCAAACCACACACTTCCCATCTGTTAGAAGTGGCGGGCGAACGTTCCCTTGAGCGGTGCAATACTTACTATAAACAAAGTTGTTTTATTATAAATTTCCATATTCAAATCAGTGAACATCACATCAATAACATTCCAACTTAAATGGATTACACAAATTGTGGCTTAGCAAAACATTTTTGTTTTCGATTTCTTGTAGGTAGTTCTTTAACAGTTTAACTAACTTACAGATAAAACTAAACAGTATTATTTTAAACCATTTATTATGATGAAAAATCTGATTTCAATTTAACACTTACAGAACGGTGGCTCCCGAGAACGCAGGCACAGCGGGTATGATCGGCGCGGCCATGTTAGTGACAGGGCTTGTCACCGGTATCACGTTCACTCGGCTCTGCCCCATCATCGTCACGGCCGACCTTTGGCGCACCGCCTAGCGATCACTACACTACGTCTCTACGGCGTGGAACGTGTTTACTAGAAGACTAGGACAGTGAATGACGTCACAATTATGACGTCTAGTGAAGTGTTGTTCAGTAAAGTGATCATCCAATCAAAACAAAGTTGGACAAGTGATATAAGGATTGTGACATTCAACTAAATGTGTTCTATAGCTATATATAATATGCAATTTATATTATTCGTTGACATGTATACAGTTTGCCAAAAACTAATAGTTTTATATGATTTCTGATTCACTTTGTGTGTGCCTTCTATTTAGTTGTTCATTCAAGTTTATACCTTGCCATGGTATTCCTACGGTTAATCTGTCGTTAAGATGCATTTACTATCATCATCAGTTTAAGTAAAATGTTAGCAACTTAAGTTGAAACCAAATATTTTGTCTCGAAGTACCTATTCTATTCAGAGGGCCTAGTACAAGTTTGTTGTACGTTTAACGCGATCAAAATGTAACCACGTTTAGCCCTCTAATTGGTTGGTTCATTGGAGCAGGCCTATCAGAGCCTACTTGTAACGTTTGAAACTCATCAACAAACTCATACTAAGCCCTCTAAAATACAATATATCATGATTATTCGTTTGGTGCTTAACATATAAGAATTGTTTTGTCATATACCAGCAGTTAATACACAGTTATATAACTTGGTTTATGGGCTAAAATGGTATTAAATATTATCCTATAGACATAAGACTGTTTGACGATATTAATTCTGCCACGAGGCTATTTAAAAGTCAAAATGCGATTGAAGCTTTGACTATAGAGACCATATATTAAGGAATTGGTTTTTAATGCAAGTTGACAAAGTAAGAAATGATAAATGACAAAAGTTTATAATTTTACAACATTATAATAACAAAATCTTAGAAAAATAGACATTTAAAGTGGAAATAGTTTATAACACAACAGTTTTGTTGAAATTGAAATATCATAAAGGATATTAGGTATAAAAATCGCTATATGAAATTATATTTGTAAAGTTAAAGTTTGTAAGTGCGTAAAATGTTTAATAGTTAGGACACTGCATATTATGAAGTTAATATATTTGTTATTATTGTAATAATATGTATTATACATTGCGTGGTGCCGTCTATTGTTTCTGTTGCCCTGTTAATAATGTGTGTAGTAATTATAATCATGGTTATAAACACTAAAAGTTAGGTACTGACATAAAGTTTTACTTTTAAACGAGTAGTAATCGACGTTCGTACCGCAAATCCCAAGTAGATCGATGTATGTATCTTTTAAAAGCGAACTGAAGTGAAGTTTGGCGAAAACTAAACGTCGTGAGCTGCTCGATAGCGAATACTAATATGTGGAATATTATTTCTAATCAAAGTAGTAACTCAATCTTGTAAAACTGTATGTGATTACCTAGCTTCATACTCCTCCTTCTAGCAAAAAAAGGCCGAAAGGTTATGTATAAAAACACCACTTAATTAATCCCTATGCAAGGTAAAGGGTACATTTATTGTGTTCTTTAATTTTATTTGACAAATGCACTAATCCAAAGTGCTTGAATAATTGACTAAAATTAAGTATAAGTAATTTGAACCTAAGTTTTGTCGTAGCACAAATTTAAAACTACATGTGGATGACATTTGTATGAAATTTAAGTAGGATGTCCGTTTCATGTGCCTATAAAGGATGCAATTATTATTTGTACACAATTGGTAAAAGTAAGTATAATATCATGGTTATTATATATCATATCTTACAAAGTGTCATTCACATATTTATTTAATAGGAAAATTCTAACAACAATGTTTTTTACAGACTGAAACACTAACAATTCTTTGATTAGCTATAAGACCCTAGAGAATTGTGGTTTTTCTCAATATAGCTAGGTGTAACAATTTTATTTTAGATTTATTTGCTGATTTGACTTGCGTTTTTTTGTTAGTATTGTGTGTGATGCATTTGAAAATTTATTTGCGAATCGTGAATCATTTTATTTAGTATCAACATATGATCTAGAGTATACTAGAAACATTTTTTTTACTTAGTTGAATGAAACCAAATAAGTGACTGTTAAACAATACCTGGTTTTTGTTTTAAATACCCAGCATGAACATTGTTAGTCCTATTTATTTAAAAGTAAAATGTTATTTTTTAAATTTTCTGATTTTTATTTTATTTTCACCTCATCCCTTCTAGTTGTATGCGTAAGTAGAGATGTATATACAGTAGTTAGGAATGTTATGTGCAAGAATTTAAGAAGATTAGAAGATGAATCCATGATACAATCTTACTTGAGATTAAATCTTAAGCTGACGAGAATATATTGCCCTTGATTTATATGTTGAGTAAGACTGTGATGGGTTTGTAAATAAATAGATGCTTAGTAATCTGTGTATCGTATACAGAAAGTTACAAAAGCGCGAAAAAACGCACTAAATATATGTATTTGGTACACAGTATACTAAGCTCGTACAGTTACCTTAAGTACAAAATGAATATTTTAATAAATAGTTACCATCCAAGGAGGTTGACAATTTTCATTTTGAAATGCTTCTTCGTAAATAAAATGCAAATTTCCAATATGGTTATGGAGTAAGTACATAAGTCAGGCTGTTCAATGAATGAATTAATAGATAGTGAATTCACCTCTGCTAATTTAGATTGAAACAGCCCTTACTGTAGTAATGATGTAATTGCCTGCTGACTAAATAAAATACGGCTAGGCAGTTTGGGAATTGCATATTATTTTGTATGAAGAAGCAACGCTTAGATTGGTGTTGTGTACCCTGGTGCCTTATACATCTTCCATTGGTTTCAAACACCGCGTAGAATAAGACTATTATTTGCATAAATAGACATTTATTTGTAAAAATAAACTTAATAGTTTACAAGCTAAAGTCCATTTTACCAACACACATATACCTATGGAACTTAAAGCAAAAGAGATGTCGTTAGGTCATTATTTGGGCACCTGAGAAATAATTTAAGACCAAGTCAGTTGCCTAAATGGCCTTATCGACAATCTTGTTATAAGTTTTCCAAATAAAATCTGATGACAATAAGAGATTACTGAAAATTGCCATATAGAATTAGGAGAATTTATCAGAGAAAAGATTTAATATTATTATTATTAAAATGAAGTGAAATAAAGTATTTGAAATTTTTAGGGCTTGTAAAGAAATCGCACTTGTAATACTTCCATTTCTACTAACTTATCCTAAACTATAGCTTGAGAAATTACCTATAATATAACTCAATGAAGACGTACCTACCTAATGTTAAATTACCAAAAATTATACCTATAGCTATATTAAACAACCAAATATCTACTACCAAATCTAAATCTTTTACATCTAATCTTTATTATGAAACATAGCAAACTAAACTTGCTGTAAACTAAAAAGAAAATTTATGTTCATGTATAAATGAAAATGGTCATGTGATCATTTTTGAGTTGCAAAAAATAATGAACATATTTTACGGAAAATTACTTAAAACAATTATATTATTATGTACATAATACATTATTATACCTACTTATATAAACAACCTACACCTAACAGACGTTCACCCTACTACCGAAGGGTTATTATATAAGTAACAGTTGTACTTACATATCGTGCCATCTGTCATTTTACAAAGAATTTATAGTGACAAAACTACTTCAGCGCGATTTCAAATTAAGTGGCGATTCAGTATTCAGGCAATTGCCTACCAATTTTTTACTTACTTTTTTGCATGCTTATATATTATTTATTTATTATTTAACATTTGGCCATAATTTAACAGGAATCCTCATACAATATCTAAGCACACATTACAGAAAATGTAAAAAAAAACATCTGCTTATTCTTATCAGCCTTTCATATCTAATACACATCTATTAAAATATATGGAATAAATCTATCTTAATAAATAACTCTTAAAATAAGTAAATATATAATAATTATGAAAATGATACTCGCGTAAATAAATATTTAAAAAGATATTAAAATTTTCCTCCTATGCTACACTTTAAAAAGAGTACCTTGAAAGCACTCCTTAGTCGAAGGCTGTGAATTAATAGCTTTAACCTTCCCATTGTAGATACCACATGCACTTTCAACCTGTTCAGATGCAAATTAATTAAATTATTTTTGTTTCAAGTTGCTGAATTAAAAAGAAATTATTTCATTTTCCCGCCTTAAATTTGAAATGTCAGTGTGACTGTGTGTGACATTAACTATAGATTTAAAAAGTTATTTTTTTGTTTTTCCATATTTTTTAATTTTTCATCCAGTGATGTGTAAATGTAAAGTTACATACTTTATACCTGAAACCGTGTCGCGGAGAACCTAACGGGTAACCGGGGCTCCGGCTCGACGTGCAGGAGAAGGAACCGGGTGGTTTTTAGTCAGTAAGAGTCTGACACTCCCTCCCGCCTCACCCAGGCGGGAGCAGTCATTCGATGAATTTCCCCCCCTTAAAAAAAGGTCCTATTATGGTCATCAATAGACTCGTCACAAGGACTCCTACCTACTTAAGGAAACATTCTAATAATAAATTTGAAATCATTATTTACTTACTATTTAATTTTCATCTGAACGGTTAATTTTTCTATCTTCATTCATCACCTGTTTTACGAGTACAAATAAGATTTCAGTTCGAATTTATTCCCCTAGCTTAGTTAGTACTCTTTACCCCTCCTAATGTATGTAGGTACGTGTATCTATATACCTACGTATATAAAATTCTTATATTAGCGATATAAAATTCTTATATTAGCGTCCTTGTATATAATTAGTACATTTATACTATATTTATATATAGGTATATTAGAAAAGTAGAAGTGTATGCTGCACGGCCATTTCTTACACTTTCATACTTGAGATTGTCATTGAAAGAAAAAAAATGTAGGTTCTTATGTAGTCAATATTACTGCATAATGTTTACCAAAAAAAAAAAAAAAATGACGAAACAATCTCTGGTGCTGTCACTTTTTCTGGCGGGAAATCTTTTTCAAATGCTGACTATTTCCATAGACGTTAAAAACTATTTACCGTTTTTGCTTGCCTATTCGATTCCTATTTCGAATATAAATATTATATTACCTATACCAATATTATTCCAATTTTCAAAATCTACAATTTTATAACGATGAATATTTAGATTCAATAAGGAAAAAATATGAATTTATAACTAGAAAGAAACCATACCTATGTGACAATAATGACGAACTTAGAAACATGTTTGTACCCGTACCTGAACTTTTTTCACTTTTCCACACATTTGTGTACCTATTTAAATAATATTTATTATGAAACACTCTTCCATTTCTATTCTTCATCTGATAATGTGCTAAACGAGTTAAAATGAATAAAATAAACGAATATTTAAAACTGTGTTTTATTTCAATTAGTTTGATCCTCGATAATGATTTTCATAGTCGAATCTTAATGGCCTTTGTCTAAATAAGGTCGGTATTTTACTAAGATATTATAAAAATGTTACATTGAGACACCGGTCTGAGACAATAGGTGTTCCTCAAGGAATTATTTTAGGTCCGAAAAAGTTTCGTTCAAGTCAGTGTCAATGCTAGTCCCGTCCTCAGTGAAACCGTAGGTTTATATCCTTAGACATCCAACACTGCCTATAATATAGGCAGCTGTTAACATAAGCGAAAGTTTTACCACTAAGTAGCTGCTAAAAGGGACGACTGACTCAAGAGTCAGTCATTTGATAGAGTTAATCTTGATTAACTCTATCATCTTAATCGAATCAAAAATAATCAAAAAAAGTTAATCTTGATTAACTCTATCATCCAAATTTGCATCTCCGAAAACATTTTGTTGATGAATAAAGGTAAGTACTTAACTATTCGACAACAGAAACAAATTAGAATTTTGCCAATAAATGTGGTCAATATAATCGTAGAAAGGCATAACTAAATTAAGTAACAGAACAGTAGTAGTAGCAACAGAGAGAGAGACACTCAACACAAGAAAAGTGTTTTAAAGTAGTTGGGGAGTTTAGTGGGGTGTTCGAAACCCATCGTGAAATTAACCACTTAAGTACCTAATTATAACTATTTTTTAAGGTTTATTGTTTATTGTTCTTAAAACATATTGGTCTATTTTTATAACAAATAATATGTCTGACCGCTCCAAATAGGTTAACTGGCCAGTACCTACGCATGTCCGGAAAAGCAGGCCATCATTTTATTGTATTACTTATCATTATGGTCACGGTGAAAGTTCATAGCAATGCATTTCACATTCATATTTGTTTAATGGGCTAACGTTATGACTATGACAAAGCCCTAGGGAATTTTTATGGGCCAATAAACTAGTACCGTTGTCCTTTCGGAAAATTGACCCCGATTTCTGGCTTTCCATATTATAGGTATTTAGTGGATTTTCTTTATATAACTGGTCAGAGAGAGGGTCAATAAATAATCAGCGATCAGTAAAACGACAGTTTCTTTATTGTTTTTCAATAAATAATAATAAATATCGTCAATAAATAACTCTTCTAGACCCTAGCCGTTTCATTGGTGCGTGCGTCAAAACACTATGTACAATGCGTTCCCGTGCGTATTTACATGAGGTAGGTTCGTTCAGTAGGTGGATGACGAGGATGATGATGAAGATGAGACAGATGATACGCTGGAGTAGCTCGGAGACTGGTTCGAGGCGGCAGACGAGCTTGAGTCGCCAGGGTAGTAAGAGCTGTACGCGAGCTGAGAGGGGTCCCAAACTCTGGCGTAAGGACCACCGCTAGCTGGCTCCCAGGCAGGACTGTAAGAGTCCTGAGGAGCGGAGGGTGCAGAGGTCGAAGGAGGTCCGTATTGATTGGCCGGGGGACCGTATTGGGGTGCGGGAGGGGCGGCTTCTGTAGGCGGCATCATCATCATGGGCATAGCTGGGAACAAAGAGAAGTAACATTAGAAACCAATTTATATTTAAGTTGCTATCAGATTAAAATATTTTCTTTTCATAACAAACCTCCTTTCTTCATGACCAAGTTGTAGATCAGGAATCCAAGGACGAGAGTGATGGCCAGTTTGCTGAGGATCAAAGCCTTGATGGACTTGATACCGATGATAGCGACCAGGATGGGCATCAAAGCCTTCATCTTCAGCTTCAGCAGCAGGAGGACGGGCAGCAACAGCTTCTTCT